TTCTGGTAATATTACGAGTTCATTCTGGTAATATTACGAGTTTATTCTGGTAATATACGGGTTTATTCTGGTAATATTACGAGTTTAATTATAATAATATTACGACTTTATTCTTGTGTTGTTTCTACTTTATTCTCGTAATACTATGACTTTATATTCTCTTAATACCACAAATGTATTCTCAGAATATTATGACTTTATTGTTGTATGACTCTATTCTCATAATTTCATGATGTTTACCTCGTAATGTAATTTTTTTTCCCTTAGTCTCTTTTCATTTTTTTGCGTAATTTTTTTAGCCAATTTTTTTTTCTTAGCATAATTTTTTTTCTTAGCTTATTCATTTATTTATTTTTTAAATTCTTAGCGTTGCCCTAATACTCCATTGTAGCTTTGGTATGTTGTTTCAATTTAGACATCTAAGTCAGTTTATCTTAAGTGTTAAATAAAATAAAAAATACTAAAATAAATACATAGCAATTCAACTTTGCGGATTTTCACTTATTGCGTTAGGGTAAGCTAACCCTCGTGGTAAACGAGGGCCTACTGTACTCTCAAACATTAAGCTGAGTCATGTTAATGAAGACAGGATGTGAAAACGAGTCTACAGCAACACAATTCATTCCCTTCATCGTGTTTCTTTGAACTCGACAAGAACCAAAAAAAACAAGCACCACAGCCAAATGAAAATGAACAAAACAGGATGATGAAGGGCCTTACTGTTGCTACTACACACACATGAAGTGAGAGCCGTCAGTGAGCTGAGGGGGTGTGGTGGGAGACTGTGGGAGGGGTGGGGAGGAGGACGACAGGCTTCTCACTGCAACAAAACAGCAACATGTTGAACGCAGACACAAACAAATGAGAAAAAAACAGGTGCCAATCACTAAATGACAGAAATCAAACTTAAAATCAATGGAGTGAATAACAATCTTACGGAGTGTGCTAGGACTAATTAAATAGGTAAGCGCACACACACACAGTGAAGCAGCTACAGTTTGTATGTAAGCTCATGCATTTCTTTGATATAATCCTCCTCTGTCTCCCTGCTTGGCCTCTGGAGACGTACCTGCTACCAGTTTGCTGCGTTTGGAGGCCTCTGCTGCCAGCTCGTAGGAGATATTAATCATCTTCTCTTTCTCCTGTACGGTAACCTCCTCTTCATTCTCATCTTCTGGGCTTAAAGCCAAACTAGGCAGCACATTTGGCATACTGGAAGAAACATACATGTGAAAGGATTAACAACAGTGAAACTTTAATTTTTTAAATACAACTAACATTATTGTTTAAATGCAATGACAGGGGCTGCCACCTATAATAACATGTCCACAGTAGCTTAGAGAACCTTTTTTTTTTTTTACACATTTAAAATGACGTGCAGGAGTAGAGCAGGCGAGTAGTGGAGCTATCTGTGTTAGCTTCCTGTGCTAACATCCTGCTACAATCGGAGCGTCTGTGGAGTACTCCAGAAAGGAAGTCCAACACACTGAGATTATCCAGACATTTACAGTTAACTTGTGGCCTGCAGTCTGAGTTTTTAGTTCCAGAAAGACTGATTGCATTAATATAACTCAAATTTTCTTAACCTTCAGATAAGTGCATGAAATGAAAAGCTATCCTCAATGGAGCTCTGCTATCTGAATTCACCATGGCAACCGCAGAAACAAACAGGACGTTTCTGAATACCAAGCACTCCAAGGACAGTGCAGCTGAACGGAGGCGCACAATGATGACATCACAGCTCAGCAGTGCTCTTTAGTTTATCTCAGAGCTTTGACTAATGTAGAAAGTTTTTGATAATAATTTAATTTTTCCACATGTAGCTCAGTGGTCAGTGCTGTGGTCTAATCCTGAGGTTGCAGGTTCAAGCCCAGGCTGCATTAGGAAGGGCACCTGGTGGAAAACAATCGCCAAATCTTTTAGGGAATCTGCTCACTGTGGTGACCCCTCCAGAAGAGAATAGCCAAAAGAAACTTATTAACAGTCAAAACAATTAACAAAATGAAATGGGCCACATTTCTCTTGAAAAGCTTGGTCAAACTGTTGAATAAGTTTTCATAAAAACAGGTCGTAAAGTGAGACACAAACCCACAAACTGATCTGGATTCATTTTGAGAACAGAAGTTGTTTACATAAACAAAGCATCATGTCTGACAACAGGTTGGGTAAAAACATACAGTATTTTTCAGACTATAAAACTCACCAGATTATAAGTCGCATAAAGCGAAACAAAACAGATAAGTCAAACTTTATTCAACTCATCCACAGTAACTCAACATTGTTCAGTTGTAACACATAAAATCGGTTCGAGGTCAGTAAGCACAACCAGAATTATAAGGTGCACCTGATTATAAGGCTCACTGTCGATTTTTGAGAATCTTAAAAGGATTTTAAGTTTGTCTTATAGTCCAAAAAACATGATAGCTTAATCTTTTATTACTTTACTTAATGAGCCAGTGAAGAGTAAAGAATGTATTTTTCTTTCAGCTGCTCCTTTCTTCAGAGGTCGCTACAGAGAACTATCTTGCATGAAGACTTGGTTTTTATGCAGGATGTCCTTCCTGACACAACCACAGACACTGAGCTACCACAGCCTCTGTGTGGAGCAGAGAGCTGATATCTAGGGTGTCCAGGGGAGCAGAAGGTGGGGGTTAAAGGCCTTGCTCAAGGGCCCAGAGTGGGGCAAACAATCCATCCATCCATTTTCTTTACCCGCTTATTCCATTTTGAGTCATGGGGGTCGCTGGTGCCCATGTCCAGCAATCACTGTGCGAGGGGCGGGGTACACCCTGGACGGGTCGCAAGTCCATCACAGGGACACATAGAGACAAACGAGACAAACAAACATTCACTCTCTCACTCACACCTAGGGACAATTTAGAGTTACCAATCAGTCTAACTAAGTTTTTGGTCTGTGGGAGGAAACCGGAGTACCCAGAGAAAACCCACGCATGCACGGAGAGAACATGCAAACTCCACCCAGAAAGGTCCCTGGACCGGGGTTTGAACCAGGGACCTGCTCGCTGAGAGGCAGCAGCTCTACCAGTTGCGCCACCGTGCTGCCGGGGCAAACAATATTAGATTTTATTTATTTATCTGCCTCTGGCCAGATATTTGATTTCAGTAGGATATTAGTGTAATAACTACTAAATCCTACTGAAAACCATTTAGTCTTTTAACACTATTTTTTACATTGAATTGAATTAAAACTGAATTGAATTGAAATTGAACTTTTTGGTTTTCATCATCAGTTATGAAGGCAGCATCTCTTTAGGACTATTAAAAACAAGAAGGAAATTTTGTATTTGGACCATGAAATCAGGCCAGTGGACAGATAAACTTTTTTACTGGAACACCAGTTAGACGGGTGGACCTTTGCAGGGTAAAGGTTAATTGATGTAAAAATATTTTAAATTCTTAATGCTGCATTTAAAGACTTTGTGAAAAGATTTCTTTACTTGGCAACGTAATGTTTGCTAATTTTATCTCAGCGTGGTGAACAGATTTGGTTCTGACGAGAGCAGCACATCTGAGGTGTTAGAGAAGTGTGGCTGGAGAATGTTACTGGGATGAATTAATCTACCATACTTTTTGGATTATAAGGCACATTAAATGAAACAAAACAGTCAGATAAGTCAAACTTTATTCAAATCATCACAATAATCACATCAAATTGGTTTGAGGTCAGTAAGCGCAACCAGAATTAATACATAAGGCGCAACGGATTATAAGGCTCTCTGTCGATTTTTGAGGAAATTAAAGGATTTTAAGTTTGCCCTATAGTCCGAAAAATACGGTAATTAAAAGTGATACTGTTAAAAAAAAGATTTCTGGGAATGAGAGCAAATCCAATCTAGGAGGGAAATTCTTTCTTGATGTCAGACATTATGAAGTAATCAACAGTTTATCTGATGAACTCTAACGTCTCCACATATCGGCGGTCTGCCAGAGGACTTGAAGGACTCAGGTTAAGTAACACCTCAAAGCTGTGAGTCCTGATTTAGTGCAGATATTCAGATCATTAAACTGGGTGAGTCAGTAACTGACCAGTCCTAATGGCACATTCATGGTGTGTTCAAAATGTGTGACATGACGTCTTTAACACGTTATCTGTCGAACTGGTTAAAAATAAACTCATGTCAGATGGCTGCTTCAGATGAGGACCAGTAGAAATTAGTTTTCTTTCCATAAACCTGCCATCGAGCAGGTGCACCTCACAGTCTGTAACCACAGTGACTCAGAGTTTCACTAAACTTTCTTTCTCAAAGGGAAGATTCAGAGCGTCCCTGAACTCAAAGCAGGGTTTACAATCTCACAGCTTTGGCTAAACTTGCTTTCTGAAATTCCTCCCTGATCTTTAAACCAAATCTTATCAGTTACATCTGAATATTTTGCTGCTCCCTGCAACAGTTTTTTTTAACCAAATGTTCCTTTTATAACATCTAAGGCCTGACTGCACATCTATGATGAGGCACAGCAACTAGCAAATCAAAACATGTGGGTTTGTTTACCTGTTTTTTGCTATAAGGGCTTTGATGCGGTCAACTTTCCTCTGCTTATCAGCCTCCTGCTCAGGACTTAAAGGTTCCTCAGGGTCCGATTCAATGTAACGCTCAGGAATCAGCACTTTGTCGGGCACAGAGAGCTGAAATAGAACAATCAGGCACACAATGGGCATGTCATGTTAATGAGGTGATCTGCACGTCACAAACAAAGCAACAAACAACGCTAAATAAAACCTTAAAAACAAGTAGCTGTAAATCCTACAAATTTACCATACAATATAGGGTTTTTGGTTCATCCTTTGTTTTAGCAAAAACTACTCATGGAGCACACATTATGTGACAACAAAGTATGTTGTCACATAATGTGTGCTCCACAAAATGGGTTCAGCAAAGACTAATTCAAATTTCTGATTTTCCTTATTCGCGCTAAATAATCTCATGTTGACCAAGTTCATAACTGAAAGCATAAAAGCAAATTATTGTTTTTGAAATACAATATGATTTAATGTCAAAATGTGCTGAACTATTCAAAGTGTTCAAATGTGAAGCTTTGCTGAAGCTCCTCTGACTGGGTGACGGTCTGTTATTTGGGTCGTCTTGACGTGATACTTTTATAGACCGTTTCCTCTTCAAATACAGTTTATACATCAAAACAAACACAACGTGACAACCGAAGCATTGATATCTACAAGGTTTAAACTTGTCTCTGAATCACAGAGTGTGCCTTGCCTCTCGGTCAAGGTTGAAATCCGCCTGGGTGGATTCTTTGAGACGAGCGATCTCCTCTGAGGGCGTCTCCTGCTCCCTCACCACCTCCTGGTGTCTCAGGGAGGCCTCCAACTCCTGGATGTCAAAACTCATCAAGTCATCTCTGCGCCTCATCTGGTACTAAAGGCGTAAAACAAATGAGAGTCATGTATGAGAACTGAAACCACGTGACGGGATTTGATTGAACAGATCAGACTTCAGTGGGTGTGTTGGTCATCAAATACCTGCAAGGTGCGGAAATGATTTTCTTTAGTCGTGAACGAGTGACTACGAGAAGGCGTGTTCTCCAGGCTGCCCCCCCGGACGCCGGGTGCTCTTTTCTTCTCCCTGAGGGTACCTAGCTGGTGGCGACGGATCCTCTCCATCTGCTCTTCTACACTCATTCTGGGTCGACCAAGCTCCACAGTGCACAGCTGCTGCTCCGCTGCACTGTGTGGACGCTCCTGGCGAAAGATAAGAATAAAAAACTAGGTTCCTCTTATAAAAATAAAATATAAACAAATATCGTATTTTTCGCCCTATAAGTTGCAGTTTTTGGCATAATTTGCATGCCCTGTGATTTATACACTGAAGCAACATATTTATGGATTTTTCTCATATTTAAAAAACAATTTTTGTCTGAGACCGTTTTCATTCATTCCGACTGAAAATATTGAACACTACCATTGTCTGCCACTAAACGGCACTATGCAGCAGCTGAAATACTTTTACCTATTACATGCTGTTGTATCATGTAATAGGTAAAAGTATTAATGACACAGTCGGCTTGCCGTAGACTGCCACCGTCGCGTGCCTGACGCAACAGTTAAATCAGTTTCATTTCACTGTGCTGCCCCGGTGAAATGCAGCTACTTTGACCACTGAAGTACATTTATTAGGTCAAAGTTCAAGTGAGACACACCTTTAATATAAAGTCGAGATAATAAATAATTGCTTTAGGTGCTTATCTTGTTAAATTTCGAAGAAATGCACAAGTCGCCCTCTGTGCATTCATGTTTCTGCGCATTGGCTTTTGAAAATGCAGCTGATTTGACCGTCAAAGTGCATTTATTAAGGAAAAGTTAAAAAGACACACCTTTACTATAATGTTGAGCAAACAATTGTTTTTAAGTGTTAATCTTGTTAAATTCTTGTTAAAGTTCTCCCGGGCACGCCCCCACAGCCGCCATTTGGCAGCCAATTGATTTTTGGCACAACGCAGGCCCACATTTTCAGGTTGTCAGCATAATAGATGCGACGTATACAGGGAAGAGACGTATTTATGGATTTTTCCACTTTATTAGACATATTTGGACTGATGTGACTTATAGTGTGACGTGTACGGCGGAAAATACAGTAAGCACTTGAAAACAAAACAAAGATAAAAGCACATAATTTTAGAATACTGTGTTTGATAAGGACAAAAATAAGAGAATGACCTCGAGCTAAAGCTACTATTTCACAACACTCTGAAATTACTGTCGCAACATTCAGCGCTGCGACACAAATATTTAGATTCATTTTGCAAAGCTCAAGTTCTTGTGTTTGGTGTGTGTAGTCAAACGGTGTTATGCTCTGGTCAGGTCAGAGTACACAAAGCAGCATTCACAGAGAATACCAGGTACTGCTGGATATACTCTAAACCCAACCAAGTAGAACTATCTCTGCAAACAGCATACACTGGAAAAACTTAACTTTTATAATTGTTACATGGCTCATTAAAGTTTGCTTTCTTTGAACTGAACCGAGCAAAAGTCCAAATCCTCTGACGGCTGAGTGCTCACACGCTCCTCCTGACACACATGGGTGCGCTCAGAGGGCTTGGGGGGCGTTGTTAATGCCTGAACAGGAGAAGCTGAAGATGTGACAATGTTAATTTTCAGGTTGGTGCCCTGCTGGAGGACTGGCAGATGTGGACTCGTTATTTAAGATCTGAGAACCCAAGCACCTGGTCCGTGATGCAGTCAAAGTGACACAGAGCTCATTTATATTATAATCATCTTTCTATAAGCAGAAACTCAAGCAGACACACCAAAAACAGGACACACCCTACCACTAATCACATGGTTCGCATACGTAAGATGATAGTGTTTGAGGATGAAAACTGTATAAACAACGCTTGGCATCTATTTTCTGAGAGCCCGAGTCACAGCTCGGCCATGTGAACACGGGCCTGCTGCACAAGTTACACTCCGTCAGGAAGGGAGTAAACAAGTTGAGACAATTGGGTGGTGTCCAGTTTACATCTGTCCACAGAGGCTTAAAATCATACAATAACAAGGAAAACAATAAAGAATTATTGCTCTTTTAGTTCTTTGCAGGTAGAAACAAACATTTCATGAAGAACTCAGGTGAAGTGACTCACCGTCCTGGGGTCAGGCTTCTTGGTCTTCCTTAAAGTTACATACGAGGCTATAGATGAAGACTCAGGCACTGGAGATTTGGTTCTGGGTGGGACAATGCCGACTGGATAAGACATGCCTGACCAGATAAAGACACAAGAGGTGACCGTGAGCTTCCACAGATGAAATATAAAGTAAAGAAGTTAAAACAGCAAAATTATAAATAACTATTTATTCAAGAGTAAAGCAAACTAGCACATAAACCCGTACTTCTTCTGCAAGGCAGAGAAATTAGTTACACGTTTCATTAATTTGTCTTTTAGAAAACGTCTTGTTTAACACATCTATATAACGTCAAGTAAAAGTAATAGTTGGCTCATTTTTACTCAGTAAAAACAAACGGGTCATGTGACTGGAGGTAAAAATGTACAATGTAAAGAAAAAAAAAAAAGACAGTCCAAGCATAGAGTAACTGCTGGACAACAAACAGTTAATTAGACAGACTTTGTGAAATACTGAACTGGATTAGGTTTTTAAAAAAATCAACCACCAACATTATCTTAAATTTGCAATAAAACATTTTGCATGAATATTGAAAATTCCACATAAAACAAGTACCGTCTTAGAAATAACATATGTATGTATATACTGTATGTGTGTGTGTGTGTGTGTGTGTGTGGGCGTGCAAGTATATACAGGTGCTGGTCATAAAATTATAATATCATGAAGAATTTGATTTAGTTCAGTAATTCCATTCAAAAAGTGAAACTTGTATATTATATTCATTCATTACACACAGACTGATATATTTAAAATGTTTATTTCTTTCAATGTTGATGATTATAACTGACAACTAATGAAAACTCCAAATTCAGCATCTCAAAAAATTTGAATACTGTGAAAAGGTTCATTATTGAAGACACCTGGTGCCACAGTCTAATCAGCTAATTAACTCAAAACACCTGCAAAGGTCTTTAAAGGTCTCTGTCTAGTTCTGGAGGCTACACCATCATGGGGGAGATGCTGACTTGACAGTTGTCCAAAAGACGAGCATTGACACCTTGCACAAGGAGAGCAAGACACAAAAGGTCATTGCTAAAGAGGCTGGCTGTTCACAGAGTAGAGGATGACATGTTTTCGGGAGTACCACCGGTCACGTGATGCTGGCGGGACCGGAGTCAACCTCATTATAACTCACGTGACCGGGACGGGACCGGACTGAAAGCTAACGGGAGCAGACAGGAGCGGGAACCGATAAATAACCAAAAATTAAAATGAAACAAACAAACAAACAAAAAAAAAAACAAAAAAAAAACCGCGGGCGCAGCTATTTTGTAGTTTTCTTTCAGTAAGCCTTCACTTTAACACAAGTCAAAAGGACTACATTTCCCAGGAGTCAAGTGTTCCAGCCGTAGCTTTTCACCGAGAGGGGGAGGAGCAGCGAAGTGGTACAGAGTCTGAAAATAGTTTGCAACGCAAGGTAAGAAGTAACTGTGTCTATTAAACTCACAGAACAGGCAGGAAAGTGTCAAATAACCCTGAACTTCATGAGAGTTGTGTTGGTGCTGTGCTGCTTTAAACTTTAGTCTCAGTCGTGAGGAGCTGCGGGGAGTTGGACTTTGTAAATGAACAGACTCAAACAGCGCATTTTTCTCCACCTTGTCCCTTTTAATTTTAAAATGATGCTCTGCTTTGTTGTGTGGGTTTTTAGGTTAAAATCTTCATTATCTGTTGCTGTTTGTAATGTAAAAAAAACCCCAGAACTCTTCCTGGTTAAAGTGCATGCATTCTCCGGTAAAAATATCCCAGTTTTTATAAGAAAGGCTGGTTACATATATATTATAATAACTGTTATTGTAGGGGGGACATATTGGTGTGAGGTCTGTGGGTCCTCCCTCATAACTTTTTTAATAAAGTAGCTACTATTTCCTGCATTCTGGTGTATTTTAACAGGTTTTAAAACATTTATGTTTACCTACATAAGTGAATACTTTATCCAATAACTGTTTTATAAAGCATGGCACAAGAAGTAGCACTAAGCTTTTTGTTAGTCTTTAATTTAATTTAATTTTTCTACCTAACACAGGAAGCTGTTAGCTCTGGAAGCAAACTGTTAAACAGCTTTGGGCACAAAGACCCTTGTCACACACTTCAACAGAGCAGGTAAGATACATCAAATATTGTAATCTCCACCTGGTGAGGCTGAGTAAATAATTATAAAATATGATGAGTGAAATAAATAAAGAAAATTGAGCTTCTGTAATTTATAATTGCAAATGTCACATTTTCTTCACTTAATTTCAATTGTAAATCTCTTGTTTTTGACAAAATATTTTTTCCAAAAGAAAGGCCAACAGATTGTAATTCGTAGTCACGGTAACCCTATTTTGACTCGTGCACGTCTTCTTTCACTTTTAGGTTACACAAGGCTCTGGACTGGTCAAGCTGTGGAGAGATGAGGTGGAACACCAGACCTGCGATGATCCAGTCTGTAAATGATGCTCTGAAGTCTGGGAAGATGCACGACATCATGCTTCACCCAAACGAGCTCGTTACCTTGACCACATAAACTCTGGACTTCTTGAGGACCTCGTCCAATGTATAATAATGCCTTTAAACATTTTTATTTGTCCTCTTGCTTGGTACATTATTTTTCTTTTTTTGTTTGTTTATACAATTTAAAACATGACAGTGATGTCACTGTTTAAAGGAAACAATTGCTCAATAAATGAGTAAAATGCAACTTGTTATGTTTGGGTTCTTTCATTTAAGGTAGACATGGTGTGACCCGTGTACTGGTTTTGATTTTTTAGTTTTTACTGTAACTGACCTTCAAAAGAGCCAGAAACAGGGACTCAGCAGCTGATCCTCCGTAGAAAAATTATATGGACTACAGGCCATGTATTATTTGTTTTATGACATTTAGTGAAGGTTTTTGTTTGGATTAAGGAAATAAATGTCTCTATTTCACCACAGATGAACTGTTCCTGTTGCCATATCTTTTGAAATAAAACTGCACAACACAAAGTAATTTAAACAGGAATGGGTAGAAGATCAAATCAAATTCAATGTATTTCCTAAAAATTAAATGAAAAACAGGAGCAGGAGTCATGTTACCAGGAGTGGGACAGGACAGGATTAATTTTTTTTACTCTGGACCAGGATTGGGACAGGACAGGATTTTTTCTGTGGGACCAGGACAGGACAGGAGTGAAAATCCACTCATGTGTCATCCTCTATCACAGAGCTCTGTGTCCAAGCACATTAATAGACAGACAAAGGGAAGGAAACAATGTGGTAGAAAAAATAGTGTACAAGCAGTAGGGATGACCACACTGGAGAGGATTGTGAAACAAAACCCATTCCAAAATGTCGGAGAGCTTCACAAAGAGTGGACTGCAGCTGGAGTCAGTGCTTCAAGAACCACCATGCACAGACATATGCAAGACATGGGTTGAATGGAATTACTGAAATAAATCAACTTTTTCATGATATTTTAATTTTATGACCAGCACCTGTATGTATACCTCAGTGCATACAGCCAGTTGTCTGTGAATAAATTTATAGATTGAATGATATCTTTAAATATTGTAATAGTGCTTCTTTTTCCAAACAATGCTATGTTTCACAATAAAAAAAAACGACTTAAATATATTGACAGCAGATTGGGAAATTGTAAAATAAGTTTTTGCATGTTTCTGTTAACGGCTGGGTCAACTCCTAAATATCAAAATAAGAGGGAGTTTTACAAACAAAGCCAACATTTAAGGTTATTCAGGCAAAATGCATTAAAATATCAACAAGAAACTCTGACACCATATCAGTATTTTACTGTCATGCACCTTTGTTTCCAGCATATTCTCTGTCAGACGGGTGTTCAGATCGGTCCTCTCCGTTGTTCTCATCCACCTCGGCCACTGTGGTGAGCTCTGGTTCACTCTTATAAAGTCTGTAGTCTGGCCCCTGCCAAATGAGAAACAGGTTTAACACATAAACAAAGGATTTCACACAAAATGTGCAAAGTCTGTTAACAAACTGACATTTACAATAGTGAGAAAACAAATGTCAAAACAAAAAGGTACAACTTAAAAAAAGTAACTTTGGTTAAACAAAAAGTAAGCATCAGGACAGCACATTCAAACTTGGATATGGATTAAAACATGGAAGAATAATAGCTTAATTTTATTTATGCAAATAAAAAAATTTAAAAAAGCATTGCAATGAAAATTAAAAAAAACAGAAGCGAGACTTCTGTTACACGGCTAACATAAAAATGAGTCATGGCAGTATGTTGAACAAAAGCAGAAATGATCCAAATAAAAAAATTAAAATGAGAAACGCCGACACGTGACGGTGAGTTATGACATGTGATGAAGCAGCTGAGGGCAGGGTCAACCACGGGGCCAACAGGTCAACAAGCTTACGCTGTGCGTGCTATTCCTGTGGTTGCTCTTCCTGTCCTCTGGCCTGTGGAGGGACGAGGGGCGCACACCAGCATGAGAGGCTGGAGGGGGCACGGCGGGGGAGTTGGGCTCGTAGGAATGGGGTAGGGGCGGCCGCGGGGGTACAGAGTCCTCTTCCTGGGGATTAAACAGGGCATTACAGGACATGAAGCTGGGTGACACATGGTGCCACCGTGCAGGATCAGAGCAACAGCCATCTGGTGCAAGAGTTTTGGCCCATAGGAGGAGCAGGCCAGCTGATTAGCCAGAGAGAAGGCTCCACATTATTACCGCTTGATGGTTACATTTACCCAGAGGCCAACAGACTTGAACAAAACTGTCTGCCTGGTAAGATCCATATTAATAAAAAGAATGTGTGTAAAAGGAATCATTTACTTTTTTAAAGTGGGGTTCTGTTGAGTACATCGTCAGTATCTTACCTGCAGTAGACAAGGTCCAAAGTAAAATTCTCATGAAGGTAAAGAGGTACTGAGAGCAGGGCCCAGTCGAGCAAATTTCTATCATTTCAAACGACAAAACCCTAAAACATTTTCTATCAGTCTGAGTGACCAATTATGGTCCGCTGTGGTTATTATATATTGATTATATATTCATAATTGTGCACATTGTCACTTTTATATGAACCAGTTTTCTACTTTGTTAGTATAATTTGTGAAGTGCTGGCTAAAAATATAGTCCGGCTGTTTTTTCTTGGTTAGTCAGTTCTGCTCTTTAATCAACAAATTTTCACCTGTAAATTTTGGCTAATTCAAATATCCTCATATTTTCCCACATATTGCTTTCTTAATCACTAGTTTTTACAGTCTTGTAGCAGTTGTTAGGGATTCAGCTGAGTCAAAACTTGCTAAATATGTTTGGCAACCTTTATACGTGAAGCGACACAATCATTTCTTGATCAAGAAAACAGTGAGATTGTAAACGACTTGCAAGAGACAATGTGTGAATGTATTAATGCTTGTTTGAACTGTTATAATGGTGGGACTCTGCTCCTGTTAAAGCTCTGGTCTGAATAACATTTAACTTGACAAGTCCATGAGAATTTCTCCCCAATTTTTCAAACTGGGATCAATTTGAAAGCTGTCTACTGCAGGTAAGATACTGACTACTGAATTATTTCACAAAACCCCAGTTCAACAATCTAGGTCAACTAACAATTATTAGTGTTTTCTATTCTATAATATGTCAAAAAAAGAAATACCAAAAGAAAATCCTAGACATTTTGATAAATGACTTTAAATGTTATTAGCCAAAACAGATTTTAAAGATCTTTGACTGATCCAGATATGCCGAATTGTCTCAAAAATAGAAAGAAAATAAGTTAGTTGCTCTCGTTTGTGGAACTTCACCTCATTTTTGAGCTTATTCAAGTTGGTTTTGGGTCCAGAGAAGCCCATCCCATCCACAGCGTTTCTCTGAGCTTTGTTTTTATTGAGCACTTCCATCACATCTTGAATCCTCCACAGCTCCTTTTGGATGCGAACGTGCTGCTGACTGGGAGGCTCCGTCTGAGCGCACAGAGGGGAAAGAAGTATAAATCCCTGGTGAAGTTCTGAGCATAGTTTGTAAAATAATGTGTAAAAAAACATAACATGATGCATTAAAACAAGTAAACCGCTATATTGAAATGTGTCTGCTAAAGTGTCCAGCACTGATTGAGTTCCTTCCGTCTTTGAGAAAAATTAACTAAATAAAACAGCAGCAACCACAAGAAAAAAAGGTTTACGTTTGAAAGGACAAACAGGTGATCGAGGAACATTAGAAGAAGATATACATTTAACTACCTCTGTGCAAATGACACTGCAGGCTTACTTGTGGTCCCTAGAGTTTCCAAAAGCAGAATGTGAGGAAGATCTTCCAGTTATCAGGCTCCTCTCTTGTGGAACCAACTTCCAGTTTCTGTCCATGAGGCTGACACATTGTCCAGTTTTAAATCTGGGCTTAAGTCTTTCCTTTGTGATAAATCCTATAGTTAGGGTTGGCTTGGGTTTCCTGAGCTGTCCCTTAGTTATGCTGCTATAGGCTTAGACTACTGTAGGACAAACTGACCACATTTCCTCACTCTGATTCTGTCTTTACTTACTCTACTCTACCTGTGTGTAATTGTAATTATTTCTCCTGAACATGTGTTTTTTGTCTTTCTTCCTATAGCAAGTACATCTGGACCTGCCATCATGTGCTCGTTCCTCCTTCCTGTCCTCTCAAACCCAGCCGGTCGAAGCAGATGACCGCTCGCCCTGAGCCTGGTTCTGCTGGAGGTTTCTTCCTGTTAAAAGGGAGTTGTTCCTTTCCACTGTCTCCTCTGTGCTTGCTCAAAACTGTGACAAAGTGAAGATTCAACACAATCTGCTGCTTCCTAAGATAATTTACTAATTGTTTTTTTTTTATGTATGTGAATGTTTCTGTTCAGCACCCTGAGACAACTTCTGTTGTGACTTGGCGCTATATACATACATTGAATTGAATTAACAAAAAGTTTGTGTGTAAAGAGGATGTCCAGACTCCGTGCTGGTGTTCTGACATCTCTGTTCTGAATGAACATTAGCTCTGACGCACACTCATCCAGAAATAACTGGTCAAAGTGTTTGTTTCTGTCTCTGCACCTCTATTAAGATGAAGAACAAGATAAAATACAGACTTCATTAAGGCCTGCACTCAAGTCATCAATCACTCACTCTGCAGCTTTAGCATCTCTTAACTCTTGGCATCGGGGGTCCTAGAGCTGAGTTATGATATTCTTGCCTAAAGTCAAAAAAGAGTCTTAAAAAAGGGTAGTCAAGATCCAGAGCTGTATCTGCAACTCTAAATGTTTTTGTGCTAGTTTAACTGAATAGAAGAACAATTGTATAATCAATTAATTAATCAAATGTTAAAAAATGATATTACCTGTGGGCTTCCCAGTGCTTCCAGCTGCTCCAGCAGGTTACTCTTGGCTGAAGTCACATCTCCTTCCAACCTGTCATACTCCCTACATGACCGCTCCAACTCCTGGTTTGGGTGGAGAAGAAAGACTTGTTGAACGACTAAAACAAACAGGCAAAAACTCTCGCCTTGGATTGAAAGTAGTGTCCAGCCTGAGTGTGTGCAGAGTGAATGGATGTGCTGGGCAACTCACCGCAGTGACTCTGGACAGCTCTCTGCAGGTGCTGAGGAGGCCACTCTGCAGCAAGTCTCTCTGCTGAACGACGGCCGGGTCATCGGAGCCCAGCTCGATCTCCTGACTGGCCGACAGAAGAGCAGTCTCCAATGTATGCTGAAAAAAGACAACTTATTGAATATACAGATTTAAACAAAGTTTTGTAAGAAAACATCATTAGGAACGCGTATATTTTCACCTTCTCTCTGTACAGCTGCTGAAGTTTTTCCTCATGCGTCCTAACCACTTTATCCTGCTCGCACAACCTGCTGAGTTTAGTCTGAAGACAAAAAACATTGTAAAGCACTTTTTTTGAAACTGAACGGAGCAGCGTGTCTTGCAAGAGTGCATCACTAATCTTACATCAGTATTCACTTCCTCTGGCATGCATGTGTACGCTTGCTCCCCGTAGTCTTCTGGACTCAGCTGTGAAGACGGAGCGAGCATTAAACAGAGACAACAAATCTCCACATACACTTTCAGGATCTGGAGATCTAATGCAGTGCTGTCACAAAGCTCTGTCAGCGAGCCGCGGGACTGACTCTTCACCTACAGCTTTTATTTCACTAAATCAGACGATCTTCATCAAACCTGCTGTGAAAACGCAGCCAGTCTAAACACAATCTCCTGCTGATGCGCACTGAGCCTCAGATTTCATCTGTAACATCATTTATCTTCATCTGCACAACACTTTGGTTTTACTGCAAACCCAAAAGTAGAGCGTATAAAACAGTCTCTAGCCGGTCCTGTGTCCACACACAGTGTTTTTAAAGTACCAGCTATGTGTTTACTGCAATAAGTTGAAAAATCAGCTCAAAGATTAAAAAAAGGCTAACAATTTTCTTTAAAGTTGCAAAAGCAATTAAAAAAAACAATCTTATTTTACTTAAACATACAAGACAAGTGTCCAATGTCCAAATATACCGCAGTAACTTCTACTTTATTTTAAAATAACAGTTTTTATGTGATTCAGAAACTTACAATGACTCGTTTTTGCCACTTGTCATTTAAGCAGGGAACATTATGTCATCTGCATTGGATCCCGTTTCCAAAAAACACAAATCACTCTGAAATCTAGAACAGCCCACAAATATTGTGACAGCGTCACATTTCTGTGTTGTTTTATGTTTGTCTCGACATTAGATATGAAATTACATAAAACCAAAGTGCCAATTTCACCCGTAACTCCGTTTTATTTATTATGTATAAGCAAATGATTTGCTCATTTTTCTTAGTGAAGATTTTTGGATTAATGCCTTTTGCTTCTATTTGTTTAATAAATTTTGCTTTCAGTCTCGTTCTCAGGAAGAGAAACACAACACTGTCACATACTGGATTAATTATCTGTGTGAACCAAGAAGAACTTTAAAAAGTACATTTATAAGCAAAGCAAACTTTTTTTTTTAACTAAAAAAATATTTTTCCTCTAAAGTATCATCAAATTTCAAATCTAATGTAACAGAAATAACAAACACAGAAAATGACTCTGCACAAATAGTTTGCGACCCGGTGTGAACGTTTCACTCTCACACCTGCACTCTTTCACACGCTCCGTCTCAGTTGAACCACATGGTACATTTAAAGCAGCAGGAACCACATGGCATTCCACACGGAACATGCAGACGCTCCCACAGCTCGGGGCTCTTTCATGGTGGTGTCGTGTGGACTACGAGTGACATGGGGAGGAGGAGGAGGAGGACGGAGTTCTGGCTCTGCTGAACAGGTGGGAATGCAGCTGTAGTGGAGCCTAGGAAGGAGTTAAGGCTTTAACACATGGGGCGGGGGTCACAGAGGTGACTTCACAGGGATCATCACGTACATGGAGGAGGACGAGGTGAAGACACGTGAAGAGGAAGATTAAATTTACCCAAAATGCATAGGCCTTTATCCTCATCAGTATGTCTCTGGGCCTTAATGGTTCAAAGTGTTCAACAACTGCAAGTCAGGGCTTGAACCACTAATTCATCTAACTGTGACTAACTTGTGGAGAAAATGCATAAAAAGAACTCACTGCAGTGAGAGGTGCAGGTTCAGCTGAATACTTAACTGTAGAGGGACACTCAAACATCCAAAGAGATAAACATGAAAAAAAAAAATAAAACCTGAGAGCTGCTTGCTATTCACCAAACCAGCCTGAGGACCACCTGGCCAAAGTGGTTCAAAAATATCCTGATGTAAGCTCAATCATCCAGGTAAATAAATCCCTAAATAACCTGACTTGACTTTTTGTGACATTTTATAAACCATTACACTGCCATCAATTCTGCATGACTTGGTTATTTACAAAGAATTCTGTGGTTTTGTTGCAAGCGTATAGTATATGGTGCCTGCAGCACTGAGATGTTGCACATTAAGTGCTGGCTCGGGCACATCTGGCAGGAATATAATATTTCTGCTGAAACATCAGTTTAGCACAAAACTAACAGCAGTGTAAAGGTGGAAAACAACAGCATCTACTGTATACCCACTACGTAAGTTTTGAGATTAGATTTGTTTTAAGACAGCAGCAATTTACTTTTGCCTTGGCTCTGCTTGGACTAGATGTTAGCTCGTCAATCAGGATTAAACTTTATTTCTCCAAATCAAGATCATTTTAAGGGCCATCTACAATAAGTAAGTTAAAACAATGTTCATGAGCCTTTTAGAAACTCTTGCTTCAAAAGATCTGAACCATCCTGTTAAAGGCAGTTTGAAACTTGTGTCTGTTATCACAGACTTTAGATAATACTCAGACTCCTGGCCAAGTGTAGGGGACTCAGATAGTGGAAGTGAAGGGATTCTGCACACAGAGGTATGGAAATCACTGGCTGGGGCACAAAATAAAGATGAGGAAGGCCTACATGCTTTGCAGCCAAAGTGAGAAATATGCAAGAATAACTCAGGCGTTTAACGAAGCCCCATGCCCAGAAGACTGCTTTATCAACACGTATGAGCTCCATCAGTAACTACATACAACCTGAGCACACACACCTCAAATTAAAGGAGGGGTTTAACGGAACGGAGAAATGTACATACATACAACATGATACTTTTTAAAGTCATGCCCACATGAACATGACTTCTAACACGAAGAGAACAATCAAAAAGCGATGGATGGGGGAAGTGCTGGCATAGCAAACGATACACGGAGACCGTTCTCGAAATGAAGACTTGGACATCAGAGGAGGAGCGTTGCATAACAGACCAAAAAGAACAACAGCGACTGGTGAGGATGACGTGGAGCAAAGCCTTTGGCTGGCCTTACTTGCTGGTAAAGTTGAGGCCTTGGAGCCGAGTTCTCAATCAATTTGTGAGTCATGGCGATTAAAGGGTCATTTTCCTTCATCTAGTTCAGTGCGGAGAGGAGCGATATAGCAAGTGTCAGAAAGTTTACAGCACTTGATTTCTGAGACAACAACCACAGCATAATGACACCACTCCACTCACTGGAAAGCACCAGACTCAGACAGAAACATGTGCATCCACACAGGACAGGGAAGGCTGCAGCCCCACGAAGCAGTAGGTGATACTTACAAACAGCATCAGAAACACATTACACCTTCAAACTACAGTTCATTATACTGGTGCAAATACAGCAAGCACTAGTTACTCTGTGATGTAATCATGTGGCGATAAACAAGAAACACGCGTGAAGAGGAAAATGTTTCACTGTGTTCACACTAATCTGAGACTACATATTCAGTGTCTTTTACTAGAAATGAACAAGTGTTCCTGTATGAACCACTGTGCTTAATAAACCCCCCAAGAACCAAAGATAATTGTTAAAGTCCTACAGCTCTTTTATGTAGACTGCAAGGCAGAGATAAACACGTTGTGCTGCTTCAAAGAATAAAATAAGAGATGGTTATTGTGTAATCGCAGCAGATTTTAGCCTATTCATTAAAACTGTTTAAAACAAAACACAAATTGGCCCATCAGAAAACATAATGCAAACTAAGGCTGTACAACACATCAGCATGCACAATCGTCAAATTACAGCATCTGCAATTTTGAAATATGCAAATCAAATAAAATAGAAGCTTTGCAGGTCTTGAACTTGCTGCCAACAAAATATTAAATAGTTTGATTCTTTAAAGTGGTACCACAAAGCTCCAAAGAGAAGTATAATACTGATGTGAACGTCATCCAAAGTAATAACTAATTGTTAAAAGACACAGTTCAGTTTATTTCTAAGGTTAGCTTCGACTGATAGAGGAGTAATGCATAGGCCTGTCTGTCACAATAACACGTTTTGCTGGGCGAATAATTGTCTCAAAAATTATTGTGATAAACAATATATATATATTTTCTTTCGACTGCTCCCTTCTTCAGGGGTCGCCACAGTGAACTAAATTGCACGAAGACTTGGCAGTTATTTTTTACGCCGGATGTTCTTCCTGACGCAACCACAGACACCGAGCTACCACAGCCCTCTGTGAGGAGCAGAGAGCTGCTGTCTAGGACACCCAGAGGAGCAGATGGTGGGGGGGGTTCAGGGCCTTGCTCAAGGGCCCAGAGTGGGGCGAATGAAGGTGGGGGCAGGTGTGGGTGCTTCAAATGTTGATTTGTTTTGCATGTAGTACCTTTTTTGACCACTGGTTGGCAGTATAAGACTGTTTGAACCGAAGGATGGATAGTGAGGGAGCGAGCAGCGTGTCTCTTTAAGAAAAATGGGAGGGAGGCCCCTTGATGTGACATGGGCTGTCTCTCTTCGGTTCTCAAAATGGCGGATGCTCAGTGTGGTTTGAGCTCTTTAGCATTTTTCACACAAAGCTTTTAATTTAAAAAATGAGTAAACAAGTTCTCAGCTTCTTTTTGCAGAGAAAAACTTTTTACACAAAGGCACGGGTTTCAACCGTGAATTTTGGAGCTTCGGCAAGACGGAGGTTTTTCTCCAAGGTCGGCCTGTTAGCTTAGCTTGTAGCTTAGCTTCTCAGCTTAGCTGCTTTTAACGATCCAAAAACGTGATTTTGAACAGTTAAAATGGATTTTAAAGAGAAAAGAGAAAGGGAGGGGTCAGTGAAGAGCATCAGAGTTGAGCCTTTTGTCATCCAGTGTCTTCAGTAGAAGGAGAGACACGAAGAAATCATAAAGCCGATAAAAGAAAATGAGGTTGGTAATTTTTATTTATTATGCGATTAATTGATTTATTGTTTATCGTGACAGGCCTAGGTATGAACAATGTTTCCAGCTATTACGAGCCAAACACTTAAACTTTCTCTTTAAATTGAACTTTTTAACAACGTCACCGTGTGTTTTGATGCGTTTACACCGGAAATGTTCAGGGAAACGTACATCCACCGGTTTGTACTTTGTTTTGCAGCTGCTGTTCACACGTCACAGCAAGAAATTTGCTGCTCATAAATAAAACATGAAATATGACAGATGAGGTTTTCTGATGACCAATTTGGTGTTTATATCTTTACTACATGATATAAAAGTATTTTAACAAACAATCAACAGATTAAAACAACCAAGCTGCAGCTGTGCAGCATGCTCACTCAGGAAATCATTAGAACAATTTGGAGCGCATCATTCCACCTGCTGATTTCCAGAACTTTTTACTACGTGGTTGACTGTACAATACTGTATAACTTTAGACGCAACTGTAAAAACCTATACAGTCCTATGTGTTGTACTTGATAAAATAAAAACTATTAAGTGTTTGAGTTTTAAAACACAACTTGCATTCAAAATCAAAGTCACTGGACTGAACTAAACATATATACTACACATAAATTCATGCATAGATTTATAAAAACTAAACACCATATATTTACATTTTGTCCAGCTCCTTTGCAAACAAATGTAGTTTAAACTGTGTTTTTGTTCAACAATGGCATTTGTTTATTAAGCAACAGTTAGGGGGAAAATTCACCAAGCAGCAAACACAATTACAACAAAAGTATTAAATGGGTTCAGTTCATTACTAGAGAAGAAGAGAGGGCATGCACTCATGCATCACCCCACCTGATTGTCCAAATACATGAGGTTCCTTTGGAGGTGATGAGAGAGAATGTCGTTCTAGAGTCAGCAGCAGGGAGGAGAGAAGAGGCAACAGAAGAGCAAGATAAAGAAAAAATGGAAACCCCCTCTTGACCCGACGCTCCTCTTGTGTGTCTCTTTGTTACTTTCATATCACACAAGCGTGTCGTGTATCCAAATATAACCACACACAGAAAATGAAGCAGGACAGCTGAATGTGAAGAAAGCAGGTCAGGCACCACATGGAAGGGAACAATGCGATGCTACTTCTGGATGGGAGGGAATGCAGCTTCACTATGACAAAATGGGCCGTGCGATCTTGACCAAGAGCAGAAAAATAAATAAATCACAAAAACAGTTGAGTGTGAGAATAACCAAACTACAAATGGCTTCTTTCTGATACACGGAGATATCAAATAAATTGTATTAGAGATGGTTAAAAGCTATTAAAAGTGACCACAGACCCAGATTAATACGAGGGGCCGCTGTGGTGAAGTGGCCGACTTGGGACCAGAAAGTCGCAAGTTCAACTCGTGACTCAATGAGACTACAAATAAAGGTTAAATAATAAAAGTTATTTTGTTGTTGATTCTTAATGTGATTGAATATTTTTGTAATAAAACTTCAAAGACAACTTTGGTCTCCTTCTTGTGATAGATATGCATTTGTTATGGTATATAACTCCCTGTAATTAACGTATTCTAGTTCAGTGACTGAGCTGTGTTTATTAAAGGGTGAATACATTAATTACCAGTAAGTTGTTGCTGGTCAGTAAACTGACCGGCTGGTGCTCCGCTTTAACGAGTGCAAAATAAGTAAACAAGTGTAGTCAAGTGAGGAGAAAGTGTCACCCTTCTTCCTCCATCATGTCATAAACGCTACATAATTGGTACATAAATAAATAATAATACTAATAACGTTCAAATCTGGCATCTTATAAAGTGCAAGAACATAAAGCTTGCCAAAAGCTCTAACTTTCATCTTAATCTAGCATGTGACTGGACTCTTTGTGGGGTACAAAGTGAGTTTATCAACTGCTCGCCCTGTCTAAGTGTGTCACATGAAAAACTAAGTGAAGCCAGGTGGAAACAAGTTTGGTTAATGTTATCGATTTGAAATGTTTTTGTGCGTTTAAAGCAAAGTGGACAACAAAGTAGCCGACCCCTGAGGAGAATAAATGTATGAACCAAATCTTCTGGATCGAGATGAATAATGAAGGTGGGTAAAGATGGCACACACAACACAAGGTACCAAACACGCCTGCAGAGATGTCTCTGGAGGCCTGACCTTTGGGTTGTCGCCATCCATGTTTAGTTGCATAAGCTGTGCTACAGTGTGCTCCCGGATACTGTTTAGCTCTGCCTGCTGCCGCCGCAGCTTTATCAGCAGCAAAGTCAGTTCTTCAGGCTGCAAAGGAGGGGAGGAGGGACGTACAGCCACAATGAAACAGGGACACACCGCGAGGGGGTGGGGAAAAGAAAGGAAAGAGCACACCAGGATAAGAGATTTAAAGGCATAAGGAACAAAATAGGTAGGCAAATCCTGGCGATGGGTGTTCATGCGCTTCAGGAACATTAGATTATCCCAGGTGCCATCACAGTTTAATACAGATAAGCTCTTTACATCTGCTAAAAACAGAAAAGTTTGCATTTACTGCAGAATCTGGGTAAGACTTCACCAGCTCCATAAAGACAGAATAGCACTGGGTGCAGCTTTGACATAAATTCCCAATCTGGCTTAGAGAGTTGTGAGTGACAGGGTTTTCTAAGTCTCCACTGATGTGAAGTGAGTGTAAGGAGCTCTGAAGTGAACGGATTTTAAATCTTTCATCTTGGAACATACAGCCGAGTCCTGCCTGAATCTGCCTCCAAAAGACCTCGGAAAATGTTTTGGTCAGAGCTGAACAAGCGAGACAGTGAGGGTAGGCACCATTATAAAAATAGCATTGTTTGTCAGACGTCTGCTTAAACCCAAGCTTTAAACGTTTCAGCTGTGCACCAAAGTCATATAAACATTTGTGGATCAACAAAAGGAAAAAGGAAACTCAGACTTACAGATTTGCCTTGCAGAGAATGGGCAGTGATGGTCTGGACTGGGATCCCCACAGGCATGGACCTCCTATCAGGTGGGTAGGCGTACTGCAGAACACAGTTCTAGAAAATAAAATTAAACATGTCTGTTATTACTACAGTCAAGCATCCACATTCATAATCCTATTTTAATGCACATGCTAAAAGGTTACTCAATAGGACAGCAACTGGGCTGAATAAAATAAAAGTCTCAATTTTTCCATAAAAAGTTACTCTTAAATAATCAGAGCTAGCCTTGTTAACACATTTAAAACTATTTCTTCAGTAAACTTGATCCTGGCGTGAAACAGATAAGAGTGATCAGTCATTTTGACATAAAAACTTCTGTTTTACAAGAACTGTGACGTTCCATTTCCTTCCATCGGACAGAGACAGAGACAGAGGTGGACATCGAGCTGCACTGGCTGCATGAAGATTGAAGATAAAACCGTTTAAAAACCTTGTTGATTTGTGACCTGTGCCGTCTGTCAAGGCTCGACTCTCGTCTGTAGGTAGGGGAGGTCAACTCAGAGCGAGCGTTGGCCATGTTGAAAGATCTCAGCGGAGAGTAGCCACCGTACACGGACAAGGACCCGTGAGACGGCGACGGGGGGATGGAGTGGCTGGGGGCAGCATGCTCAGATAAGTTGATCATGGTTTTGGGGCTGGTCATGTTGCTGTAGAGCCCCGGCTGCCTGCTGTAGGCCTGTCTCTGCTGCCACTCGTACAGCTGCCACATGGTGTCGTCGCGCATGGAGCGGCGCTTGTCAGCCACCGACGGGCCCAGGGCTTGGTCGTACAGAGACGGAGACATGCTGCAAATGCTGTCCCGCTGGGCCATGCTATTTCTGGGCATACTGCGGTAGCCATCTCCATAATGAGGCATGTAGGGTACCCGATGGCTTGGCATATTTCTAGGCAGTGTCTGGTATGATGTGATGCTGAAGAGAAACACAACAGAATTAAACAAGAATAACATACAGAAGACACATTTAAGTCACTTAGATAAAAAGAGAAAGTTTAGGCCTTAACTTTCTTGGCATCAAATTCATTTGATTTATTCACTTTGTTTATAAAAGTGTTAGCACATACTTTGGATCCAAGTCTACCATGATCAGCTGTAGGAAGAAATATGTATTTGTAAGGATTTACCATTCTAAGTGCGAGTCTTGAGGGAATTGAGCAAAGCAAGACTCCACTCAAACAAATCAGACGTTCTCAGAGAAGAACGTGGTTTTAAAAAGCCTAACTTTCTCTGTGGGCTCAAAGTCAGTGCAGTGGAATCACAAGGGCTTCATACTAGGACTTCCTGACAGATTGGGGCTAGAAAGCTCACTGGCCTGTGAAAGCCAGAGCATCAGCATTAAAACAGGCATGTAACTGCATGGAAACCAAACACCAGCAGGGAGGAGACAAACGGTGTTTAAAAGACAAGTGCAGAGAGAGAACATGAACAGATTGAAGCACACTGTAAATAAACCTTATGGGATTTTGTCGTTGTTGTTTTTTTTATTTTTACTTAATAAAAGTACAACAGAATAAAACAAATATGTGGTCACTTCAAGGTTCATGCTCAATAATCCAGGTAAAAAAAAAATCCAACAATGTTCAGTCAGATCATCTGGACAGTTTCTTTTTTTTTTTGTTGAGAGACGTTTCGCCGTCCATCCGAAGGGCTTCATCAGTCTGAGGAGTCACAAACAAACTGTTTTACCCACTAAGCAGTACACTCCTACAGTGGACCAACACGTTTGCTGGTGATAAGATGGTTTCTGGGGGATGTCCTCTCCCCATTGACTCTTTCCAGACAGGCAACCACAGCTGAAGAGGTTCATGCTCAATAATCCAGGTAAAAAATCCATAGGAGTGTACTGCTTAGTGGGGGAAACAGTTTGTGACTCCTCAGACTGATGAAGCCCTTCGGATGGAGGGTGAAATGTCTCTCAACAAAAAAGAAACTGTCCAGATGACCTGGCTGAACATTGTTGGTATGTGGTCACTTCTGCATCAATAAAAATGAGGACAGATTGTAACAAAGTCATAAATAATGACATGAATCTGTTTTTCCTCTTTCTGCATGTTTAGTCATTCTGCTCATGCCTCAACAAAAACATCTATCCAATCTGAGCTTTACTGCTGAAGTTCTGAGAGAGATCTTCTTTAAGATGTTTTTTGTGTTTAAACCTGGCGTTCACGTCCGCTTCTTTAAAAAAACCTAATCTAGGAGAGATTGGGTATAAAGTGGCATGGCTGTGCAGCTCAGAGCAGAAGCTTGAACAGGAGGACAAAAACAGCTGAGGAAGCACGATGAGCATGTCAGTTCGACAAAAGGACAGAGAGAACGTTTAATCCCAACCAATTAAAAATCGGGTTCTTCCAGCTGCTCCAGCAGAAGGCTGTTACTCCGACAGTCATCGATTTCCCCACTCCTAATTACTGAGACACTAAGAAATGTCAAACGTTTACATTGTGATGTTAACATTAGTAGCAAATCCTCCATATTTTAAATAGTGCAGCGTTATAAAAAAAACTGATTAAAAAATTTAAACTTATCTCAATATGGAATGTTTTAGACGTTTTAAACAGTGAGAGAGAACAATGTATTTGAACTTGATAATTACTAGTTTATACGTTTCCTGCTCTTATTGCTGAAGATTAAACTTGTTTCTAGTAAAGTGGAATAATAAACTTCTTCTATTGGAACAAAAACTATTTAAAAATATTTACACAGAATATAACATACAGAATTTTTAAAATATAATATATAACACAGGGCAGCACGGTGGCTCTGTCTGTAAAGCTGCCGCCTCTCAGCGAGAAGGTCACCGGTTCAAATCCTGGTCCGAGAGCCTTTCTGGGTGGAGATCGCATGTTCTCTCCGTGCATGTGTGGGGTTTTCTCCAGGTGCTACGATAGCTGGATATGGGCACCAGTGACCCCGCGACCCAAAAAGGAAGAAGCAGGTAAAGCTAATGGATGGATAGAAATATTTTTGGTTGGCACTAAAGTTACCCGATATTAAAATATTTAGTGTCGGAGGAATGACTGCCAGGGGTTTAATTACCCACCTAGAACGGTCCTAGGCCGAGATTTGAACTTTGAATTTTGCTGAGAGGCAACAGCTCTACCAGTTGAGCCACTGTGCTGCCCGAGTGGATGGATATACAGTATATAATACAGTTAAACCTGGATGGATGGATATATATATACAATTAAACGTACCTCCTGGTATCATCATCCTGGCCTCGTCCTCTCTGTATGCGAACCCACTGTTCCAGCTGCTGCATAGAGTTTGTCCTGTTCAGGGTGCGATGTGGCTCCTGGTTGGGACTTTGCTGAACAGGGAGCCCGTTCCCATTAGCAGGGAGCTGCTCCCCTGATCCGTTCACCTCTGGGTTTTGCTGCATCCTCTCAGCCTCAGCTGGAGGCTGTGGTGAAGTCACCTTAGCCTTAATGGATGCTGCCTGGGCCGACTGCAGTTTGAGGCTGTTGATCTTGGTAAGTGGACGTCCACGCTCTGTCCCATCCTTCTGGAAGCCATAACGCTCAGCGTCACGCTGCTTTCTGTCTTCTTCCTCTTTGGTGGTGGTTACTGCTGCACTGCGCTCGCGATCAACCTCAAGATTGCGCTCATTGTTCTGGATTTCAGGCTGTGTGAGAGGCAGCTTGTGGTTGGCAACAAGATTTATTTCTTGTGGTCCACACTGCTCCACTTTTAGTCTGTCCAACCTGAAAAGGACAAATAATAGACATCATATAATAACAGGAAAAACTTTTGATACATTTTTAAAAATCTTTATTCTTCTTTCGACTATTCCCTCTTCAGGAGTCTCCACAGTGCATCATCCTCCACCATCTCACTCTGTCCTCACTCCAACTACCTCCATGTCCTCTCTAACTGCATCCATATATCTCCTCTTTGTCTTTGTCCTGGCAGCTGCATTTCTAATATCCTTCTACCAATATAACCACTGTCCCTCCTCTGGACATGTCCAAACCACTGTCCCTCTTCTGGACATGTCCAAACCATCTCAGTCTGGTCTCTCAAACTTTATCTTCCAGTTATCCTGATGCATGCTCAATAATCCAGGTAGAAAAATCCAAAAAAGTTCAATCTGGTCCTCTGGACATTCAAAAAAAAAAAAAGCAAAAAAATGTAGAAATGTTTCGTCTCTCATCCAAGAGACTTCCTCAGTCAGAGCTGCTGTTTTCAGCTCAGTCTCTTAAATAGCACCTTCTCAGAGTGGATCAACCAGTTTTGCTGCTGACAACCAAAACCAGCTGCTCACATGCTCAAGAAGGACCATCAGCCCAACAATGGATCATTAGCACACTGATGGCTGTTTACTACTCACAGAGGGCTGAGTGATACTAGCAATCACAGCATTGTAAGAGGGGGACAGTTGAACCCGGAGGCCTCCACCCCTGTTTAATGATGGATGATTTCTTTTCACAAAGATGGCCTCCTTTACTCCTCTCTCAAACCATCGTTCCTCTCTGTCCAGGATGTGAACATCTTCATCCCTGAAAGAGTGACCGCTGGCCTGGAGATGAGTGTAGACCGCAGAGTCCTGGCCTGATGATGTTGATCTTCTGTGCTGGGCCATCCTTTTGGCCAGTGGCTGTTTAGTTTCCCCGATGTAAGACTGATCACAGCCCTCCTGACACTGAACAGCATACACAACATTACTCTGTTTGTGCCGGGGGACTGGATCTTTGGGATGAACCAGTCTTTGCCGTAATGTATTTTGGGGTTTAAAAGCCACTGGGACGTTATGTTTAGAAAATAAACGTCTCAGTTTCTCTGATACTCCCTCAACATACGGAATGACAACTGGTCTGGGTCTGGGTTCCTCCTTTTCACCTGTTGGCTGACAGGAGTCCTGTTTGGGTTTCTTCTCTGCTTTCAGGAAGGCCCAGTTAGGATATCCACATTGCTCTAGAGCCTGTCTTGTGTGGGATTTCTCCTTCTGCCTGGCTCCTGAGTTAGTGGGGATGCTGTCTGCTCTGTGATACAGAGTCCTGATGACTCCTAACTTGTGCTCCAAAGGGTGATGGGAGTCAAACTGCAAATACTGGTCTGTGTGGGTGGGTTTGCGGTACACCTTGGTTTGCAAATGTCCTCTATCAGAGACTGAGACCTCACAGTCCAAGAAAGCCAACCTGCCATTTTTTTCATCTTCTCGTGTGAACTTGATGTATTTATCCACAGAGTTGATGTGGTCAGTAAAATGTTGGACTTCCTGAGATTTGATTTTAACCCAGGTGTCGTCAACATACCTGAACCAATGACTTGGTGGTGTCCCTGAAAAGGACGTCAAGACTCTCTTTTCTACCTCCTCCATGTACAGGTTGGCAACAATAGGAGAAACTGGAGACCCCATAGCACACCCATGTTTCTGCCTATAATATTGCTCCCCATATGTGAAGTAGGTTGACTGCAGGCACAGTTTCAAGAGTTGACACAGTTGTTCTGTGGAAAGCGTGGTCCTGCTGCTCAGAGTGGTGTCTGATTTTAATCTTAAACTGACCACCTCTACTGCATCATCAACAGGAATGCACGTAAAGAGTGATGTGACATCAAAAGAGACCATTGTTTCATCAGTCTCCATGATGACATCCCTCACCTTATCCACAAAGTCCATGGTGTTCTGTATGTGGTGTTCTGAGCTGCCAACTAAAGGGATGAGTACAGACGCCAGATATTTGGAAACATTGTAAGTGACAGAGTTAATCATGCCAACAATTGGTCTTAAAGGTACACCTTGTTTGTGGATTTTAGGTAAACCATACAGACTAGGTGTGACCTCCCCTGGGTACAGTCTGTGGTACAGAATATGGTCAATAGCCTTGTCCTGCTCCAAAATTTTCAGGCAATCTATTAACTTCTTCTTGCAACCACTTCCTGGATCTCTGTTCAGAGGTTCATGAGTGGTTAAGTCACTAATGAGTGTCATAACTTCCTCATGATAGTCTTTCTGGTTCAAAGTCACTGTGCACCTTCCTTTGTCTGCTGGGAGAATGATGATGTTTTTGTCCTTGCTAAGAGTGGTGAGTGCGTCCCTCTCCTCTCTACTGATGTTGGAAGGTGGTGGTTTGGCGTTGTTGATCCACTCTGAGAAGGTGCTATTTAAGAGACTGAGCTGAAAACAGCACCTCAGACTGAGGAAGTCTCTTGGATGAGAGACGAAACGTTTCTATATTTTTTTGCTTTGTTCTTTTTTTTTTTTTTGAATGTCCAGAGGACCTGATTAAACTTTTTTGGATTTATCTCCCAGTTGTTCAACCTGTGCTGTACCTCTGATGATTTCATTCCTAATATTATCCATCCGTGTCACTCCTAAGGAGAACCTCAACATCTTCATTTCTGACACTTCCAGTTCTTTCTCCTGTCTTTTTGTCCATGTCTCTGTCTCCAGACCATACAACATAGCTGGTCTCACAATTGTTTTGTAAACTTTTCCTTTGACCTTTTGTGACAAAAAGGTGTCAGCAATCACTCCTGAGACTTTTCTCCATCCACTCCATCCTGCCTAGACTCTCTTCTTCACTTCTTTACCACATTCCCCATTTTCCTGGACAGTGGACCCCAAGTACTTGAAGTTCTGCACCTTTGTGACCTCTGCTCCTTGTAGCCTCACTGTTCCACCAGCCTCCCTCTCATTCACACACATGTACTCTGTCTTACTACGACTGACTTTCATTCATTCCTCTTCTTTCAAGTGCATACCTCCACCTCTCTAAGTTCTCTTCCACCTGTTCCCTGTTCTCACCACAGATCACGTAATCTGCAAACATCATAGTTCACGGGGATTCCTGCCTGACTTCATCTGCTAGTTGGTCAAACTGTTTCAAATCTTTGCAACAATAAGTCCACCAAATTATAATAAATTACTGCAAAAACACTTTCTTCAGTGCATATAGAAGTTAAATGAGACAAAACTAATTGTAAAATTTCAACAAAATGCTAGAGGTGCACCGATTGCAGTTTTCTGGCCTATCATCGATTTCTAAAAAGTCTGACCTGCCGATTCCGATTTTGGCCGATACAGATTTTGTTTATAAGCGACACTGTCAGGAGTTATAACGTCACAATGCACCTTCAATTTTCCAATATTATTTTATTGAAAACATACTCTTGAACAATATCCTAGAAACAATACAAACTTGTTTTAACTGGCCATGAGGTAGGGTTCTGAAATATAAATAAAGTTCAGACAATTGTTGTTCAAACTAAAAAAAAATCTGTAAAATCGGTTTCTCATGCAGGTATCGGACGATTTCTGATTTCCTAAAATTAAGGAAATCGGGGCCGATAAATCGGCTGCAGCCCTACAAAATACAGATCTTTTGTAGTTAATTATTCCAACAGGGTTAAGCTTTAAGCAAAGCCAGAAGTGCAAATAAATTAAGTGAAGTGCTCATGTTTCTTCCAGCTGCTGGAGAAGGACAGATGTGTAAAAGGAAATCAGATATCTCCAATAAAACACTTCCTCTGTCAAGGCTCAACTCAAAGATGGCACTCAGACCTCAAATCCATTAGTAACTCCCATCTAACGCTGTGGTTTCAGTGGATGTATCCAGAGGCAACAGGCTCCACTGTTCTTTGGCTTTAGTGAAGCTCAAGGTCAGAACTTCAAAGTTGATCCAGTTTCTGTCAGTGGTATGGCTCACTTGATTAACAAAGGCAGGACAAAAGACATTCTTCAGACTTTCCACTTCATACTTTCAAACTGGGCAACATATAATGTCTTCTCCAGATTACTGTGGCTCTGGTATCCTTACAGAGCCCATACTGGGGCCAATGACTGGTTTGTGTGCTTTTATTTCTTTTGGGAAGAACGTGGACACACAAAACAAGTACGTGAAATAAAAAGGCTGCTACACATAGCAGAAAAACTTACAGCAGCATTATCCTGATGCATGCTCAATAATCCAGGTAGAAAAATCTAAAAAAGTTCAATCTGGTCCTCTGGACATTCAAAAAAACAAACAAAAAAAAAAAGCAAAAAATGTAGAAACGTTTCATCTCTCATCCGAGAGACTTCCTCAGTTTGAGGCGCTGTATTCAGCTCAGTCTCTTAAATAGCACCTTCTCAGAGTGGATCAACCAGTTTTGCTGCTGACAACCAAAACCAGCTGATCACATGCTCAAGAAGGACCATCAGCCTAACAATGGATCATTAGCACACTGATGGCTGTTTACTACTCACAGAGGGCTGAGTGATACTAGCAATCACAGCATTGTAAGAGGGGGACAGTTGAACACGTAGGCCTCCACCCCTGTTTAACGATGGACAATTTATTTTCACAAAGATGGCCTCCTTTACTCCTCTCTCAAACCATCGTTCCTCTCTGTCCAGGATGTGAACATCTTCATCCCTGAAAGAGTGACCGCTGGCCTGGAGATGAGTGTAGACCGCAGAGTCCTGGCCTGATGATGTTGATCTTCTGTGCTGGGCCATCCTTTTGGCCAGTGGCTGTTTAGTTCCCCAATGTAAGACTGATCACCCTCCTGACACTGAACAGCATACACAACATTACTCTGTTTGTGCCGGAGGACTGGATCTTTGGGATGAACCAGTCTTTGCCGTAATGTATTTCGGGGTTTAAAAGCCACTGGGACGTTATGTTTAGAAAATAAACGTCTCAGTTTCTCTGATACTCCCTCAACATATGGAATGACCACTGGTCTGGGTCTGGGTTCCTCCTTTTCACCTGTTGGCTGACTGGAGTCCTGTTTGGGTTTCTTCTCTGCTTTCAAGAAGGCCCAGTTAGGATATCCACATTGCTCTAGAGCCTGTTTTGTGTAGGATTTCTCCTTCTGCCTGGCTCCTGAGTTAGTGGAGAAGTGCACAGTCTCATTTTTGCTAAAGTATTGAGTGGATTCCAGGCACCACTGCTCTGTGTAATTACACAGCTTTGAAATGATTCCTCTGCTCGGCCATGTAAAAAGAGTGCATTAGGTGGGCTGGTGGACAAATTACACATTTACGATTGTTTAAATAGAGGAAAAACAGCTGAACTGGTAAGTTGGTGAGCATGACCAGTCAGTGCAGATGTACAGACCCTCAACGACCTGCAACATGCACTAACATTACAAATATGCACCAATGAATAGATTTTTTAAGTTACGGTAATATTTACTTTGCAATAAACCTTCATACTAAATCGGTTGAATAATATGAAAAACAGTTGCAGTTTCTTAAACAAGCCCAAAAGAACAGAAATGACAAGACAGAGCATTGAGTTGCTGCCAAAGACCTTAACAGGCTTAACAGAGGGATTTAAAACTTGCTTTTTGAATAAACTCTGAAAAAAAGAGGAAAAAAAAATCAGAGTGGAGAAACAAACTGAAGAATGCGGAGTCATTAGTGTTCGTTTTAGAAACCGTCCTCAAATGTCTTTTTTTGTCCTCCTCCTCTTTTCAAAAGTGACACAACCTACTCTTAAAAAGGGGGGAGAAAAAGGCGCATTAGTGAAGCTCGTACGAACCTTTTAACGGGCTCTGAATGCACAAGTGCAGCGTCTGTCATTGCTTTCATCCAAGACTCCATCTCTTTGGCTGTGTCCGTGCAAAAATAGTAGGTTCGCATGTTGGGATGCGTCGCCTGATGGACGGGGATAGACAGGAAGAGTGACGCACAAAGAAGGTTACCTGAAATATAGAAAGAAAGAAAACTGAACTTCAGCTCAAGACAGGTGGATTGTTTGACATCCAGGTAATTGTGACTATGATAATAACATTTAGTTATTTTAAACAAGCTGAGTTGATTTGTGAAATGTTTCTGGACGTGGCCATCTGTGCCGTACAGACAAATCAAATCCTCGAGTCACTTAAGTTTCATGCACACCACCAGATTAAGGAATTAAATCTGTCTGGTGCAACGATGGCAGACTTACCAAGCAGTTCATTGTATGGACGACACACCGTCCTGTTTCTTCGTCCCCTCGCGGTAAACAAACAGATATATTGTCAGAGCCAAACACAGACAAAAAGAGAGACAGAATGTTTAGTCACCAATCTTAAACTCCTGTTTACTAATGTTAAAGAAATGAGAAAAATGTTTCTTAATTTCCCTACAAATAGTCAAGAAATTCTACAATTGGATGAAATCCCAGTCACAAAAAGAGACGGGGAAAGTAAAAATGTAGTCAAAATGTCATCAGATTTCTAAGTTTAACTGAGAAGTCTGTGCCCTGAACTGTGGTTTCCTTGTTTTCCTAACTGCTCCCTCTTTCCGCCTGAATCCAAGCTGGAAAAGGAGTGGGCTGTGTGGTTACAGAGACCTTCAACGGACTCCTGAGCGTCTGTGTTTAGCAGTATTTGGCAGGGCAACTTTGGTGTCTCTAAGGGTTTATGAAAAATGCAGCAGTATTATATAAACTGTTAAGATTCCATGAAATATGTTCTTTTCATAAAACGTTGGTTTCTGACGGTGTCATCGGACTGCACTCCTGCCAGCAGCCTGTAAAAGACATGCTTCATCCTCCTTACATCAATAGGCTTAAAAAACAGCTTGTAATAGCTTATTTTTAATCTGATAAAAACATAGTTTTAAAGATTCAGCAAAACATTTTTACAGTGTGTAAACTTTGACTCATATTCTTTATAAAACACTTTGCTAAAACAGTAAAAACAATCTAAATCTCTGGCTTTTATTTTAATTTTGAGCTCTTTATTTTTTCCTAAAAAGGTTAATGTACAGTCTTATTACTTTCTTTGCTCCAAGTATAATAAACCATAAAACACCAAGTCTAACAAAGTTTTAAGGAATGAAAATATACAAACCTTGAAAGCATATTTTCTGTTAATGTGATCATCCACAGACAACATGGATACCTGGAAGCTCGGCAGGAGAATGCTGCCAAGAACACCTTCCTCTTTTTCATCTACAAGAAGAAAAAAGAAAATGAACCATGTGTTTCAGGCTGCTTTCAGAAGTCCCGTGATTTATGGTTTTACTTCTGTTATGTTGAAAATTAATTTAATTCATTTGCAAACATTAAGGTTTAGAACATAGACGGTGAAAAATAGGCCGTCCTCTGATCATAACCCTAAATTTAAAATCGGAACGAGATCAACTTCCCTGTTGAATGGTTCCAGCGTATGCTTTAAGCCCCGCCCCCTTCAATTGAAATGAATGGGACATTGCCACATCTTAGAAAAAAAAAAATTCAGGCAATGGCCTTTCTTTATTTCTTCAATGTACATTTCTTCTCTATGCTAAAATATTCACTTATTTATTATGTTTAGCTAAAATTAGTTATTTCACGCGAGAAAGGTCACACGACACCATGATTGTAAGGGTTGGATCGACTTAAAGACCAACATTGTTCTTGTTTAGATGCCGCTTCCAAAAATGCAACATGAATGCTCTCAATCTTTTTAAATTACATTAAAAATCTACATAGAAACAATGAGACTCTCTCTTTAAGAAGTAGAATAACTATGGAGCAGAGTAGCTAACTCTCTAAAGGACATTAGCACATTTCAAAAGTAAATTAAAACAATGCAAAAAAAAAAAAGTATATATATATATATATATATATATATATATACACGTATACATATATACACACATATACATATATACACACACATACATATATATATACACACATATACATATATATACACATATACATATATATACACATATACATATATATATACACACAATATATAAAGACACTTTCCAAAATATTAGAATATCATGGAAAAGTTGTTTAACTTCCATAATTCCATTCAAAAAGTTAATCTTTAATAGATGATAGATTCAGGGCCCACAATTGAAATGATTTCAAGTATTTATTTGTTTATTTTTACATAATGTGGGCTTCCAGCTCATGAAACCCACGAAAACAGGATTTCAAAAAATTAGAATACTGTGAAGACATCCGCCCACACTACTTCTCAGTTAATGCAGAAAAAAAAGAAATTAGGATCACAACAAATCAATCAAAATATGGTACTTTCAAAACGATATGTCAATCTACAATAATTCAATTCAATTCAATTCAGTTTATTTATATAGCACCAAATCACAACAAAGTTGTCTTAGGGCACTTTACAGAAACATTCACATAAAAGCTAATTAGTAAAGTTCTCTATCTAAGGAATCCAGCAGACAAGTTGAATCTTGGCTTTGTTGCAGTCTCCCATTCTGAGCAAGCACAGTGGCAACAGTGGAAAGGAAAAACTCCCTTTTAAAAGGAAGAAACCTCCAGCAGAACCAGGCTCAGGACAAGCGGTCATCTGCTTTGACCGGCTGGTTGAGAGGATACTTGGTTGGGAATCCCTTTGTCTTAATCTCTGCTTCGATGCGACGTGGCATTGAGACAATCAGCCTGTGGCATTGACTGGGAGTTATGGAAGCCCAGATTTCCTTGATGCTGTCAGCTCTTTGTTGTTGGGTCTGGTGCTCCTCATTTTCCTCTTGAGAATACCCCATAGATTCTCAATGGGGTTTAGGTCCAGCGAGTTGGCTGGCCAGTCAAGCACTGTAGCATGGGCATCAAACCAGGTTTTGGTGGTTCTGGCAGCATGGGCAGGGGGCCAGGTCCTGCTGGAAGATGAAATCTGCATCTCCGTACAGATCCTCAGCAGAAAGAATCATGAAGTCCTCTAAAACATTCTGGTAGACTGTTGCAGTGACCTTGGATTTAAGAAAGCAGAGTTTACCAACACCTGCACCGGACATTGCACAACAAATCATGACTGACTGTGGATATTTCACACTGGACTTCAAGCAATTTGGGCTCTGTTCCTCACCCTTCTTCCTCCAAACCCTTGGACCTTGATTTCCGAATGAAAGGCACACTTTGGGGCAGCTGTGGCTGAGTGGTTAGAGCAGTTGTCCTCCAATGCAAGAGTTGGGGGTTCGGATCCACCAGCAGTCAAATGCTGAAGTGTTCCTGGGCAAGACACTGAACCCCTCACTGCCTCCAATGTGTGTCCCATCAGTGTAAGAATGTGATAAAGCTCTGATTAGTCTCTTTAGAATGATTTGTTCAATTAGCTTTGTAGAGATCTAGTAGAGTGCTGTATGAATGGGTAAATGAGGACACAGATTGTAGTGTAAAGCTCTTTGAGTATCTTGATCAGATAGAAAGGTGCTATATAAGTACAGTCCATTTACCATTTACTTTCATCTGAAAAGAGGACCGAGGAACCCAACAGTTGTAGCCCATCTCCTGGATGTGTCTGAATGTGGTGGTTTTTGAAGCTGTGACTCCCGCCTCATTCCACTCTTTCTGGATCTCTGCCAGATTCTGGAATCTTCTCTGTTTGATAATCTGCTGAAGCCCACGATCATCTCTTTTGCTGGTGCATCTTCTCCTGCCACATTTTACCCTTCCACTAGACTTTCCATTGATATGCTTGGACACAGCACTCTGTGAACAGCCAGCCTCCTTAGCTATGAACTTTTGTGGCTTACCCATCCTATGGAGGGTATCAATGATGGTCTTCTGACCAGTTGTTATGTCTGCAGCCTTCCCCATATTGAACCAAACTGAAGCAATTTAATGACACCTGGGGAAACCTGTGAAGGTGCTTTGAGTTTAGTAGATGATTAGTGTCACACTCAGTTTAAAACATGTCCTGTAAATTTTGGGCTGATTTCTCCACAGTATTCTAATTTTTTTAAATCCTGTTTGCGTGGATTTCATGAGCTGGAAGCTCAAATTATGAAAAAATAAACAAATAAATACTTGAAATCGTTTAAATTGTGGGCCCTGAATCTATCATCTATTAAAGATTAACTTTTTGAATGGAATTATGGAAGTTAAACAACTTTTGATCTTCTAATTTTTTGGAAAGGGTCTGTATATGCATGTATAGAAGAATTTTCTATTTAATTTCATGTGTCTGCTGTCTTTTCTTCAGAGGTAAAACATATTTATGGAAATAATTGAGGGAATTGTTCCCCCTAGAAATCCTTTAAAGTAAATCATTTCTGTCCTGCAGCTATGCAAGAGCTTGAGGTTTATAACTAAATCATCTAAATTTATTTCCCTCCCCTCCCTAAAGAAATACACAACCACAGAGCAGTGTGCAGAGCATTTACCGAGTGTAAGCAGCTACGTTGGACATCCTGCGTGAACAACAATGACCAGATAACTCCAGCAGATAATGGCTGTATTTGGTTGAGGCAGCAAAGTTTATGACCTCACTGCTGATGAACATCACTGCACAACACGCCCATCTAGATAAAGCCTTTAAATCTGCGTCTGTCTGTGGCTTTTGTCAGCCAGCGGGCAGAAAGAATGTGTCAGGAACGGCAGGATGCTAGGAAAAACAGCCATGATGTCATCCTGATCAGCACAAATGACGACTACGCCCACATCGATCCTGAGTTATGACACGTAGACTTGAATCAGGTGAGATCTACAGCGCCTCAGTGACAAGCAGGTTACTTAAAAATAAACATTTACCTCAAAGATGTTCCTGCTCTACAGCAGTAGCACAGAGGAAGCTTAAGGGTGAGTCAGACTTTCAAAACTGAAAGGAAAGTCTATAAAAGGTCATAATTCCTACAAAAATAAATCTTATAATCATTATTATTATAAAAGAATGATCATTTAACATCATTTCTGCTTTTGTCAGAATTAATATTCTGTCTATAGCTTAAACAAGATCAAGTTATTTTTGCTTATACTATAAAAATCGCTGCAGATATTTCAAAGATGTCTGTACAGTTTATTTCTATGGCATTTACGAGTTGTTTCTATTTCTGCATGTGTCAAGCCTTAAAGCTCTTTCAGCTGGTCATAAAAGACTGTTGTTGTTTTATTTTATTTTAATTAAAAACTTGGACGCATTAGAAATTAGCCAGGCTCTGACTTCAGGGCTCAGGGTCACCACAGTACTTTAAACATTGAAGACAACCGTGGTTGGAGTTGTGTGTACTTACCTCTGTAGTAGAAGAGGCACAGATCAGAAAGAACGAACCACCTCTTCTTCCACAACTTCATGCCTGTACTGTCCTGTAAACACACCAAATAAACAGATCATTGAACCACGGAGTGGTTTTCACAGTGAAATCACGGCCTCAGTTGCAGAAATTGTGTAAAGCATGCCGTTCAGATATAATTACAGCCCTCAAAATATTCATACAACAAAATATTTAGTATTACTGACAAATAGCAGCCAAAGAACTGTTTCAACTTGATATTTTCAAGAGTTTTTTTTATTTTATTTTAGTCTTTATTCTACTTTTTTTCTCAACAAAGTACTCTAAATCCATCTCCAGATTAAAATAAAACTCGTTTTTGATCAGCCATTAACATTTTCTTTACATTTCATTCAAGATCAAGGCTGAATTTTTAATTTAATTACAAGTATTGGGATTAATTTCTACATTAACCCAGAAAGTCAGCAGGCAGTTATAAAACAGTATGTTTCAAAACAGATTGTAGAGGAACATTATGCCACAAGCTACTTATATGACACTAGTGGCAGTTCTTCACCTAAATATGAGCTGTGGAGCTGAAGTTTTCCCTTTAAGAGACCGTTTTGTGTTTGGCCAAATGTAATGATGTGTGTTGGATAATTTATTTATCCTATTATCAACTCATTAAATAAATAAGCCACGCAAGGAAAACTAGAAGATCTTGTCAACCCAGGTTTAATCTTGCAAGAGGAGCAGCAATTGAAAACCGGTACAAGATGTTACATGATGCCCGGATCACAAGGTCTGCCCACAGAGAGTATAAAGAAGTGTTTTTATCATAATAATTATCAGACAAAGGTGAGGTCAAGACAACAATGCTTTCCAGCTTAGGGCCTTGAAGTTTATCAGGTGCGTAGTATCCGTGCACCTGCAGGCTCCACCTTGCAAAGACAAAACAACTAAAACACACACATGGTTTTATAACATTTGATAGTAGTAAGTGAAATACATCCATGACCTTTACCTCTTCCCCCATCATTTCCCCCCTCTTTATGGATTTCATCACTTATCAATAACTCTCTTGCAAGTTAGGATGTCTTATGCATGTGGTGGAAAACCCAACCAGGGCAAAATCAGTCCAATCAGATGGGAAAGCACCAGCACCACCACATGTCCCTATGACGGGGCATGTGGTTTGTTTGAAAAAACAAACAAAAACAAAAGGCTCTCCTCAGACAGAACTCACTCTCTCTGTACCTGAAAGTTCTTCTGAGTATTCAGAAAATTAAACCACCTTAAAAACCACGCGTTTGCCTTTAAATGAAATAAAGTTGTTAAAGCTGCCATCTTCTTTCCTATCAACCAGGCAAGATGGACACAAGTGGCAAACTAAACTACTGCACCAGATCAATTTATTTAGTCTTCTTTAGATATTTGTATCTCATTTTTAGGCATTAAAATTGTAAGAACTGTATGATGGAAAAAATAAGTGGTTCTGACACCGACACCTTGAAACTGATAACTGGCCTATGTCTAATTGTCTCAAGCAAATTAAAATTTATGTTTGAGAAAAGTTAGTTTGCTTCAGAGTTAAAAACATAAAGATAACAATGTTTGCTCAAGTTGCTCTTTAATAGCTCAAAGTGTGTTTTAGTCTGCAACCCAAGAAGAATATTAACTTTAATGGAAAACTTGAGCAAAGAACTTCAGCACAGATTTTATCTGCAGACTAAAGTAGAGGGTGGGACCTCAGCAGCTCTGTCATTATGGTCAAACAGCATGCGGGCTGCAGCTTGGTTTAAATGGAAATCTGCTTGCACCACCCAGAATGTTTTATACATTAATATGAAAAGAAAAACAGAAAATGCAAATGCTGCTCTGTATATACTAAAAGAAGGCAGATCCGAACTGTAGCAACAAACAAACATCTTGACCACCTATTCTTAATGCAATCAAAGTCCTCATCACCAATTTTATAAGAAGTTCATGAGTAAACTTTGTCAAAAGTTCAGTTAGACCTTGCTCTTAGGAGCAACACACCGATTGTGGTGACATGTTGATTTCCCTGTGGATCTACTGCAGAGCTTTCAGTCAAGGACTTCAGTGGCTTCCAGGTTTCAATGAGGCAGAAAAATAAAAGTGCAAATCCAGCTTTTATTCATAGTAGCAGATTTGTGAGTCTTTTTTTGCTTGATCTACATCACTCAGATAAAGGTCTCCAAAGAAAAGCAGCTGGCAGCTGCAGCAAAGGAAACAATCACGTGTTCACAGGCTGCACTGGGAGCTCTGCAATCAGAACTAATTGTCTTCTTGTTGTGAGGCAGCAGAAGAGTCTGGCCAAGGACTGCTTCAAGCACCACTTTTCTCTCCTTGCTGCAAGTTGCCCAGGAGTAGTGTATTTAAACACTGCTGGCTGTGCAGGAACCCCAGATAGAGCAATGTTCATATGGTGCAAAGCATCAGAAATTATTTTTAATGTACTGTTCCTGCACTGTAATTTGAAGATTTGGAAATATTTTTGTTTCTGCAACATTTTTTTTTAAATTTGGAAGTATTTTACACAAGCTGCTATTACTTTAACATAACTGTATAAAGAGATAGGCGGCTCATTAAAAGAGCAGAAATGTGAATAATATCAACATGCTAATAAGCTAACGGGGACAACGCCACCATGCTGTGTATGAAATATATTTATGTGTATTCATCTTGTCTTTACTGTAGTCATTAAAAGTTAAACTAAATTAAAAAATACATCCTGATTTGCAGCTTCATGTGACAAATCTAAATAATTACAATTATTAAACACAGTTAATGTCTGTGGCATTTAATCCAACCAGTAAATACATCCTTAAAGGATGCCTCATTGTCTTTATTGTTCAAAGTTGAAACAAATTAAAGGTTGGTCAGTTTCATGAGGTGTTTTCTCACCTGTTTGTAAAGCCAGTTCCTCTTGATCACCGGAGCATTGGGGTTCCTCCTGATGGAGTTGGATCGCTTCCCAAAATTGTGAATTTTCTTGGAGGGCCTTGAGGGCTAAGAGGGAAAAAGTACAAATATACATGAACATTACTTCTGCTTGACCATGATCACAGTTTTTGAACAATTTAAACTTGACCCAGTAGCTTTATTTTCCCGGATTTACAAACAGGGATGCATCTCATGCTTGCTTGTGTCACTCACTCTTCCTGCAGGGCTGTTGGTGTGTGTGGTGCAGTCAGAGGTGGCTGCCGTGTGGTTGGAGGCTTCGCTCATGGTGCTTAGTGGCCGTTCCTTCTTCTCATTCGCTGGCACTTTGGAGGCAGATCTAAACGAAAGACACAAATCAGGCCATCAATCAGAAAGACATATATTTGTGATGTCTTGCCCATTTAGGTCCTCGGAAAATAGGAGGACACAGCTTTTATCAACAATTCCTGTTTGATTCGTCTGAAGTTCAAACTCTGGGTGTAATGAGACCTCAACAAGTGCTTATAAATCAGGCTCCTCAGAGCAGATACTTTCCAGCTCCCTAGCAGTTTTATAGTCTATAGACAGCAAGGTCTGGTTGACATTCTGAAACAAAGGTTAAAAAAAGAAAGAAATACTAGTAAAAATGTTTTATACTTTTGCCTTAACATAGTATATCATAGGAAATTAGATAGTAGACATGTCTTAGAGAGGACAAAGACAAGACAACCAGACAGGAACAGAAATGCTGCAATGGTGAAAATAATCTGACTTCTTGCACACCAACTTTACTGCAATGGAAAAAATAGTAGCAAACCCTGGACTGCAAACTCCCCCTTCTAACCTGTCCATACAACCAATTTAATGAAGACTGACAATTTTATTTTGGTATCAGTCTTCATCGTTTACATTGTTCAGTCTTCCACTTTGTGAAACATGCACAAACCTACAAGAATCAGCACAAGTACACTCTGATTACCAGTATAGACCAGACTACATGCTGTTACTGTAAACACAAAAGGTGCAGGTAACAGACAGATGATGTTTAATGTCATGCAACACAGTGATGGGACTGACGCTGCAGACAATGAGGACATAAAACAATCAGGCTGACTTCACATTTAATTAATAGAGAAGTTCAACATTTATTACAAATACAAACCAGATTCCCAAAAAGTTGGGACACTAAACAAATTGTGAATAAAAACTGAGTGCAATGATGTGGAGGTGCCAACATCTAATATTTTATTCAGAATAGAACACAAATCACAGATCAAAAGTTTAAACTGAGAGAATGTATCATTTTAAGGGAAAAATCTGTTGTTTCCAAACTTCATGGCGTCAACAAACCGCAAAAAAGTTGGGACAAGTCCATTTTTACCACTGTGTGGCATCCCCCCTTCTTCTTACAACACTCAACAGACGTCTGGGGACAGAGGAGACCAGTTTGTCAAGTTTAGAAATAGGAATGCTCTCCCATTCATGTCTAATACAGGCCTCTAACTGTTCAATCGTCTTGGGCCTTCTTTGTTGCACCTTCCTCTTTATGATGCGCCAAATGTTCTCTATAGGTGAAAGATCTGGACTGCAGGCTGGCCATTTCAGTACCCGGATCCTTCTCCTACGTAGCCATGATGTGATTGCTGCAGAATGTGGTCTGGCGTTATCGTGTTGAAAAATGCAGGGTCTTCCCTGAAACAGATGACGTCTAGATGGGAGCATATGTTGTTCTAGAACCTGAACATAGTTCTCTGCATTAATGGTGCCTTTCCAGACAAGCAAGCTGCCCATGCCACAAGCGCTCATGCAACCCCATACCATCAGTGATACAGGCTTCTGAACGGAGCGTTGATAACAACTTGGGCTATCCTTGTCCTCTCTGGTCCGGATGACATGGCGTCCCAGTGTTCCATAAAGAACTTCAAATCGTGACTCATCTGACCACAGAACAGTCTTCCATTTTGCCACACTCCATTTTAAATGACCCCTGGCCCAGTGCAAACGTCTGAGCTTGTGGAGCTTGCTTAGAAATGGCTTCCTCTTTGCACTGTAGAGTTTCAGCTGGCAACGGCGGATGGCACGGTGGATTGTGTTGACTGACAATGTTTTCTGGAAGTATTCCTGAGCCCGTTCTGTTATTTCCTTGACAGTGGCATTCCTGTTTGAGGTGCAGTGGCGTTTAAGGGCCCGGAGATCACAAGCATCCAGTGGAGTTTTACGGCCTTGACCCTTACGCACAGAGATTGTTCCAGATTCTCTGAATCTTTTCATGATGTTATGCACGGTTGATGATGATAACTTAAAAGTCTTTGCTATTTTACGCTGGGTAACACCATTCTGGTATTGCTGCACTATCTTTCTGCGCAACAATGGTGGAATTGGTGATCCTCTTACCATCTTGGCTTCTGAGAGACACTGACACTCTGAGAAGCTCTTTTTATACCCAATCATGTTGTCAATTGACCTAATTAGTGTTAATTGGTCTTCCAGCTGTTCGTTATATGCTCAATTTCCTTTTGCCAGCCACTTATTGCTACTTGTCCCAACTTTTTTGGGATTTGTTGATACTGAAATTTTGAATCAACATATTTTTCCTTTAAAATGTTACATTTGCTCAGATTAAACTTTTGATCTGTCATCTATGTTATATTATGAATAAAATATTGACATTTGCCATCTCCACATCACTGCATTCAGTTTTTATTCAAAATTTGTTTAGTGTCCCAACTTTTCTGGAATCCGGTTTGTAATTGTAGCTATTTGCCATCATTACAGTAAGCACCTCCCAAATATTTCATCACTACCTTATCAAAAACAGGATTACCGGTACAAACACGAGAGAGGCTCCCCCCACCCCCGTGTTTTGCATCATCTGTGTAAGTGAATAAGTAAAGTATGGGGTTCTGTGCAGACACATCTGGTAACGTAATCACAGGAGTCATAGGCTGAACAGTTTAGTAACTAATGCTTTCTGGAGATAAAATGCACATTATTTTCAATCACTGCTGTAAAATACGTTATTTGTGAAGAAATGAGTAGCCACTGAAACCTGAATTGTTTCCCATCTGATGAGCTCATTCTGTATGTGCTTAAATCTTTTCAACACTTGCATGACAGGCAAAACCAGCTGAACCATAATCGATGACATGTGGACTTGTCATAAGAAAGAGTTTGTGAGGGGTGCAGAGATTAAACCGACTACTGTCGTAGAAGACTTTAGCTTTATTTGATGCTCTATTTGGCACCAGGCTGCATCTCGGCTATAAGCTGCAGATAATTAGTTTGGACCAAAAAATCAATCTGCATGTGGAGAAACTGAAAATAAGTGCACGTGTCAAATGGTGGTTGTACTGTTTGTACTTGCAGTCTTATCAAGAACAACTATAGTGCTGTTCAACCCTCATGGGCAGTTTTAAACATCAAACATTCAAATTCCATATCAAGAACACAAAATCAAATATAACATTTAATAGAAGCTTTAAATTGTTTGATGTATGTATGACAAATAAAAAACACTTGAGGAAAATCAGTTACTGGACAATTTTCAACAAAATACACAGATGAGGAAGACATAAATGGCAGAAGAGCAAAAATTATACATTACACACACACACACACACACACACACACACACACACACACACACACAC